GAGGGCCCGGCCTGGGCGAAGCCGGTGGATGGTGCGTGCGGGATCGGGGCTCGCGAGGGGAGATGGTGTTGGTGAGTTCCTGCCGTTTACCAGTGCTTACGTGAAAATACATTTTGATTAATGCTTAATTGGTGGTGTTGGTTTTAATAACTTGAGTGTCTTGAGCTATTTGCAGTGCTTTGCCCAGTGCCTGCAGTATGCACTTCTCAGTGAACACAATAATTATTGGTAAATAATTTAGCGTTTTCTCTGTACTTTGCTGTTGGGTGAGGAGACGGTTTTAAACTCTTCACTGATGAGCAAAAAAAGAAATGGCACTTACCCCCGCACACATTTTTATGTATGTGTCCTTATTTTTTAAAAATAGTATGAAAATCTATGTGAAAGCCCTCCCTCCTTTTCCTTTTTTTAAAACCTTCTTCGCTATAGCAGGATGCTGGCAATGCCTCACTTTTACAGCTACGTATAGTTTGAACACTGCGTTTTGTCTGAAAAAAAGGTATGTAAGAGAGAGGACGAGAGTCCTACAAACAGTTGGTAAAAATCGCAACTCCTTTGGTCAACTATATCCATTTTTCCTGCATGCTCATGTATTCAGTGAGCTGCTTTTAACGTGGACCCAGAATGAGCAGTTGCATGGTTTTTAACCATATGAAACTACTGCAGAACAGAGGGGTTTTTTTCTAGGTTCTACTTGCATATCAGTCACCTGAGTGTCATCACATCCACTGTGTTTTATTATATTGGGAGGTAAATTCTATGAAATCAGTGAAATAAATTGTGTTTTTTTTTTTTTTTAGGTATGACAGAGGCACTTCGTAATATAAAGACAGAACGTTACATGCAGATTAGAGTTTGTGTCCCAACTGCAGTATAGCACAATGCTGAGGATGGTGCCTGCATGTCATTTATGCTTATTACAAAACGTTCAGGAATGTTGATAGGTAACATATGAAATAAACAACAGGAAAAGGACAAAAAATGAACATGCGGGTATGCATGTTTGGTTTGCATCGTGTTGATGATGTACGGATTAAGACTGGTTGTCAGTCCTTTTAATACGTGCTCTGTTTTGCTGTCATTACAATTGATTTCTGAGATAGACAAGTCCATAAAAAGTCCATATTCTAAAAGATTACTCTGTATTTTACACCAAAAAAAGAAGCAAGCGATGAAGGAATTTTTGTATGTTATTTGGACATTGTGGTGTCTTGTCCCTCTTGCCTCAGATTAGAGGAAAATAAAGATCATTACTTGGAAATACTTTTTTCCTGAAAGAAGTTTGAATGTTACTCGGAGACACAATGACCTACGTGATGGTTTGTCCTGTGCGAGATAAATCAACTGCAATAGCATCAAATATTCCAGAAAAGGAAGTAAAAAGCATTGTCAGGGGTGATGATTCTTCCTATTTTTCAAAGTGCTGTCTGAGGATAAGCAGTGGTGGAGCCAGCTGTCTCCTGTGTTGGAGAGAGTTATACCTGCCTTACAAAATAGTGTTTGTGGGTCGTTGCATCAGAAAGTGCCTTCTTTATTTAAGAAGGAATAAATCTAATGATAGCAGTTCAATCTGAACTATGTTTGAGATACACAGCCAAATGAATGTAGTGAATATTGTTATTCCACTAAAAAAATGAAAGGTTCAGAAGTAGATGGCATATTGAATCAGTATTGGAGGCAAAGTGGTGAAAAACCCTTTACAAACCAAAACAGTTAAAAGTATGAAAATGAAGAGTCAAAGACAAAGTTCTACTGTGTTCATGCAGCAAGTGCATTACTTTATTAAAAACAGAAGTACTTTTGCATATTAGAAGGTATTGTTGCTCCCGTTGATTCAGATCAAGGTCTAAATCCTGAAATTGTTTGTTACTCTAAGCACATTAAGAGGCCCCACAGGAGCTATTCACATGTGAAAAGAGCTAGGACCAGAGCCAAAGTTTTGCATACTGTGAAGGTCAAGCTTGCTTCCTTTCTAAAACTTGTACTTAGTAGGAAAACTCTCAGAAATATGTTTTCCATATAGTACGTTTAGCTGATTCTTCTTTTTTTATTTTGATGGGCAAGACGCTGTGTGTGCTGTGGCCGTTTTAGAGCAATTTGTATACTCGCAGGTCCTTGTTCGGTACTGGTTGGCTAGCAGACAGCTGCCTTGCAGAACAGAGGAACTGTCCATGT